GGCCCGGAGCGCGGCGGTCTCGGTTCGCGGCCGGCAGCAGAACGCCGTGTTTCGGCTGTTTCACGTGAAATTTCCCTGTTGGCCTCTGAGCCCTCCGCGGGCCCGGCGCGGCGCGGTAGCGAGGTGCTTTGCAGGGGGCACGCCACCCACTGCGGGAAAGCGCGCGGGTCACTCGGGACGGGCTTTTCACGATGGCTTCCTCCTCCTCAAAGCGCAGGAATTTGGCTTCTTCTTCCCCTCTCACTCAACCAGCATCTTCTGACACCCCTTAACAAAAACTGTTGCTCTTAAATTACAGGGCGCTGCATAAATTGTCTCCAAAAGGAGTCACAGCTCACCACCGCTCCCGGCTCGCGGTGTCGGTGGCCGTGCCCCAGGTGTACACAGGTGCCTGCGCTTCTCGTGAGAGAGATGCTTCAGAGAGGCCAGTGTTCGAGGTGGGAGCGGGAGGATGGTGTCAACCCTCTTGTGCATTTAGAAGCCATTTAGAAACGTGCAGAGATGGCCTCAGGCCCCCAGGAGATGTACAGGACCATGCGTTGGTCAGAAGTTGGCTGGCCACTGCTTATTCCCAGGGTGGATGTTGGTTTGTCAAAGCCTCAATCAGGAGTGCGGGTGTTGCTCCTGCTGCCACCTGTGGGCTTTTAGCCCCCCCTCAGATCGCTTTTCCCGCTGTGATAAAAGCGCAGCCGGGGTGCGGAGGCTGAAGGCTGTGGCTCCGTGTGTCTCTTCCACGCCGTAGCCTTCCTTCTCCTCGCGTGCTGTTATTTCTGGAACCCCCTTGAACTCCCACCCCGCACTTGCACTCTTCCCTGCTCGCAGTTTCTCATCAAAACAAGCTACTTCCAAGTGCGGTGAGTCATGTTAAGAGTGAGGAAAATGGCAAAGCCTTTCCATTCTGTCGCTCAGTGGCCGACTCTGTAATTTTTATCTCCAGTGATTCGCAGAAAAAAGACTCTACAACTTGAATAGAGTTATACAGCAGATACGTTTACTCTGGCCAGGGTGCGAGGGGATTTCTCCACAAAGCTTGCACACCCACTGCACGTTTTAACAAAAACTGATAGAGTGTGAATATCCATATTCATTGGGTTACGTAACACAAACATACATGTGCATGAGAAGGGCTGGGTTAGTTAGAAAGGCTAATGCCAGCAGTTTGTCTCTGCACCTGCGCATTGCCTCCTGGTGGTCGTCTCCGGGGGGCTTTGGGAGGAAGGCTCGTTGTCTTTCTCACTTTTTTTTCCCCGGAGCATGCGCAGATTCTCTTGGCCAATTTCAAGAATAACAAGAGTGGTTTTCAGACGGTTTACTTTTGATCTTATCTAAGAGAACCAATAGAATTTCTACCATTCATACATGGCTATCTTTACTCATTAGCAAAATTCTAACTAGTTAGAGCCACCTGGTCCTCAAGGTCAAAAGTATAATATTTTGCTGAACATTGTAATCCTTGGTAGATTTTCAGTGAACTGCTTTGTTTTGATGAACACAGTAGTCTTTGGTAAAATTCCACAGAACAGTCTGAGCAAGCAGGATTCTTAGCGATATTAAAAAAGTACTATAACTTGCTATAAGTAAGTAAATAAGTTGCTAAGCAGTTTTCTATAAGTAAATAAATCTCAAAACAGGTAGTCATTTCTCTGTATCACCAGTACCCTCCTTCCTCTCAGCCTCTGGGTTTTGTACTCATCTCCTGTTGCTGTAATTTTACACTGATAGCATTTTGGTTTGGGTTGTTATTTTTCCAGCAGGTAGGACTTTGGTCTGGTTTTTCAAGTGCAGTATGTATTAGTAGCAGCAGCTTTTAATTACCTGTTCTGGAGCTTGCTTTAAAGCACCACAGCGCCTAGCCTCAAAAAGCAATCAACCAGGCTGGTTATAGCAACAAAACCACGCGCACTCCCCAAAAACTGAACAAAATTGTTGCAGTGTGGTTCCTGGTGGTTTTTGTGGGCTGCCAGTCAGCCGCAAGCTTCTTCCAACTTGTTGTATGGGATAAGCACTCTGCTGTTAATACAAATCTTCTCAAAGTCTGAGTATTGCCCTGGAAATCCTTAGAACATGAAGTGACTTAGAGCAGTGGGTCAGCAGTTAGCTTTTAGTATTCAGGCGGCTCTTGCAAGTCCTCCTTTTCAGGAAGCAGAAAAATCCCTGAAAATCACGCCCTGTCTCACCTCGGATTTTGTTCCTGTAATGCGGTTTATTGGCGTGGGGGTTTTTTTCTCTCTGGTGGAAAATATGCCCTGCAGCATGAGATGGGGTTAGCTGACAAGCGCTGCTCACTAAGGTAGCAAAATTAGCAACATGATATGAGTGGTTTGCCTTTGTGAAAGTGTACGCCCGCCCTCAGCCCCGTCCCCTTGGCTCCTCTCCGCGCCCCTGGAGAGGAGCTGGGCCTGAGGCTTTTCTTGGGACTAAAAGAGTGCAGGAGAGGTTGGGGGTGTGCATACTCACACGCGCTTTCCTTGTGAAAGGTGAGCAGAAGTAGTATTTTAGGTGGGACTACAATGAATAATTTATTGGGGGGATCCCATCAAAAAGTAATCTGTTTTTTTTTTTTTGTTTAACCACGGATATGGATGCATGCTGTCTGCTCGGTGTTTCTGCACAGGGTAGCATCCATCAGCAGGAGGGGAGGATGGCTCAAAAAAGCAGTTAACTTACTATTGACTGGGAGGAACTTGTGCTCCAGTGGCATGAGAGCATCTTAAATTTTTTACCAATGATGAGAGCAAGTAGAAACTTGAATTTATTCAGCTGCAACGTTGCTGGCTAAGATTAATCAAACGTGTGATCTTAAGAAGCTGGTATTCACTGGGCTGTGCCGACAGCAGGATCCCAGACAGCTTTTACAAGTCAGGCCTATGCGATAGGGTCCTGGCTGTTTCTCCTGTTGTAACATCCTGCCCGTGCCTCGCACGGGGCTGGGCCTGCTGAGCCGGACCTGGAAGCATCAGATTTCACCCAGGCTGAGCTGTCGGTGACAGCAGCTGAGCTGCGGCCACAAAATGGGGGTGGGGGGACCCCCGGCATTGGGGCTCGAGAGGCGGCTCAGCGAGCGCAGCCACTGCTCCTGCTGTAAGCCAAGGCTGCAAGGATTTGATGAGCCTGGTAAAGAAAATCTCTGTGATGTGTTTCTTAAGTGGTTGAACCGGTAAAAGTATGGGTTGTTGGCTGTGGCTCTGGGCCTGGAGCGAGTCTCACCAAACCTCGAGCGGTCTGTGTGGAGGGGGAGGGAGGAGCGATAGCAGCCGCTCGGGCCCTTATTCTGACACCTTATTGTCAGTGAGAAATGACACGCGCAAATGGCATGTGCGCCCGCACTTAAAATAGCCCCTCACCGCTGCCCCGCCAGCACACGGCCTCCTTATATGTCCGGCTGCACCCGCGGCTGGCGGAGGGGGCCCGCGCCCCCCCAGGTGCGAGCATCCGAGGGCGGGGGTTCGTTTCCTCCTGGGCGTACTGCCGGCCTCCTGAGGATACAACGGGCAGAACGTTAGTCTGTAAATCGAGGGAAGAAAGCTGGGGGTGCGATGTCTGGCTGACGCTGGGGCTTTCCTGTCAGCCTGTCAGGGAAGAGGCCAGAACGCCGCTGTGCTCCGGTGCGCCCTCGCACGCCTGGCCGAAGCACCTCGACATCTGTCCTGGTCGCCTCCTCACACGCACTTGGTTCATTTCTTGCCCGTAGGATTGCCAGATGCTGTTAAACCAGCTGAAAGAGATCACGGGAATTCAAGACTCGGCTTTCCTTCATGCAGCTCTGAAGGTTGGTGCCTGTTGTTGTTCTGTGGGAAGGAGCCCTCTGAATTTGTCCCAGAAGCCAGGCAAGTTCAGGCTCTTGGGAAGCGTGACGCAGGGGTGGGATGTTCCCCAGCCTGTCGGCGGTGACGATGAGCCGGGCCTTGCCGACACGGCCGGTGCGCGGCCTGCGCCAGCCATGCTGCCGCGCTCCCTGGGGCAGCGTGGCACGGGGGGACCCTCCGCTGCTCTTCTGCCCCTCGCCCCTACCCCCAGGCAGGCGGGTGTGAGCTTGTGGGGCCCGTGTGGATTCACCCACATCTGAAACAAAAAAAACCCTGCTAAGGTAAGAACAATTCTTTTTTCTAAGAGTAGACCTTAACATTCTGTGCTGCAGTGGCAGCGCGTGCTGTGCTAAAACATCATAAACATTTTCTGGAGGTTCTGCTCCTGCGAGGCTGTTACCTGTGCCTTAGGGTGAACACAGCCTGGGAGGGTCAGAGCAGGATTTTCTCCCTGTAAACCGCCTCAGGAGTTCCAGAGAGCTGTTGTCGCCTCGCTGGCTTTGTGGCTGGTGCTCATCCAGCGCCAGAGCAGTTTCCTCCGCTCCAAAGCGAAGGAACACAGGAATCTCAGGTGCCTGGAGAAGCAGTGTTTGCCTAGAGAGATTCCTCCTCCTGGCACCTGCTTTGGTGTTTTTAAATTAAACCCATTGCAAGTACTTCAGTCGGGAATTGTCAGACACCATCCATCCTCGGCATACGTAGTAGCGGGATGTGGGCTGTGCTGAAAATACACAGAGAGGTTTCTTTAAAAAGGTCCCTAAAGGTTTCGTTAAGAAGTAACATACAGGAAACATTCAATTAAATTTAAAGGGGTTTAGCCTGTAGCGATGATCTGAAGGAAGCCCTAGCTCAGTGAGAGACAGGCGTCTTGAAATCCACAGGGAGTTTGATTCCTGATGGCAGAGTACCCTGTCGCGCTTCAGGCCTCCCGCAACTGCTTAAGTCTCTTGTCAGGGAAATGAATTTAGATAATGGAGTCTGTATTGTCCTAGTAATAAAGCCAAAGTGCTTTTGACAGAGAAATTCTAGCCTTCGCTATGTTCATTTTTTACTGCTTGTCACCAACAGATAGCTCTCTCCCATGGTCGGGGAGAGCAGAGCTGGTGGTGCTGTGCTTATCTCTTCCACGGGCGCATCAAATGTCACACAAATGTAGATGAAGTAACCCTGACCCTATGGATTTTTTTCCCATCTCACTCTTCTAGGCTGCAAATGGAGACCTGATGGAAGCCGTCGCCTTCCTGACGGAGGAGCACGCTCAGGCGCCGGCTCGGGACACGGCTGCGGCAGAGCCCTCCAAGTGGGAAGGCAGCGCTGTGGGCAAACAGCTCCGCCCGCGTGAGTCCTTCATCTCTGCTCGCCCGTGTGGTTTCAGGGCTTTGGGGCCAGGCTGAAAGGGGACGTGTCGGTCCTCCCCATGAACCCACCGGACCGAGGCGTCCCGGAACCGGTCGCTTGCCACAGCAGTCCCGGCAGTTCAGCCTTCTGCTGCAGGAGAGCTGCACCCAGAGGAGGGGGACTTACGGCACTGTGACAGTGTTTGTAGTGACACGTGATGGTTGCAGAGCTGTCGTCCTGTTCAGCAGCGGGTCTGGGCTAACACAGACAACCCAGAAAGCCCCTAAAGCCGAGTGAGCAGGGACTGGGGCCCTGGCGAGGCGTCTGCTGACTGAGCTGGCAGACTCACCGTTCAGTATCGTAGTGTCACGACAACTTAAAATGTTACCTGAGCCAGCCATTTGGCCATGTGAAAAATGCCTTTAGAGACGTTGCAGCTATAGACAAAGCAGGCCTTGCTTCGGTGCATTTAGAGTAAGAGTGTAATGGTAGCCTGCGGTCGCCGAGAACAGTCTCTGAGCTGTTTGCCCACGACACGTCTGCGAGCTGCAGCTTTCCCAGGTGGGTTTGGCGCCAGGCAGGTTCACAGCACCAACAATCTGCGCTGGGAGCGTCAGCCGGCGCAGCAGGGCTGCACTTTGTTCCTCTGTGTAAGGCTCCCACCTCTTCCACATCTGCTCATTTTCCTTTCGCCCCCTCTCCTACGTCACTGGTACGTGAAATGCCTTGTAGCTGAGCGTCCCGACACGAGTGAAGGCAGGCGATGCTGTCTGATGGCACCAGTTTTAGTGAAATCCTTTATTCTCAAGGCAGCATCAGCTGCCAACACCGGTGTCACGCCATAACAAATACAAGCAGCAGCTGATGTTCCTGTTTCATTATTACAAGAGGTGGCCTGTGCAGAGCTGCACGATGTGTCCTGTTCTCTTCATCCAGCCCACTTGATCGCTTGTTAGGTTTCCTAGCTTCACAAATTTCTGTTTAAAACTTGAGCTAGAACATTTTGCTCCATCATTAGACAAAATCTTACTGGTGCGATGTAACATTTTCTAGAAGCTCCTTCTAAAGCAAAGGTTTGCCTGCTCCTGGTGGGATGCTGATCAGAACACTGCCTCCACTTCCAGGTGTTACTGCTGCCCTTAGCCCGAGCAGCCCCGAGGACCGGCGCCCGGTCAACGCCTTCACGCCACGGGAATCCCCACAAGCTCAGCCTGCAGAGAGGGATGCTGCTGAGAGGTCAGTGGGTCCATGGACTGCTTTTGCTTTTCCCAGGTATCGTCAGTGGATTATTAAGCTGAGAACTGCGAAACAAGCAGAGGTTCCCTGGCAGGTGTATCCCTGCTGCTTTCAGAGGTGCTTGGGTTGTTTCTGCCCTCTGGGCCTTGGCTGGTGGGGCAGTGCTGCGACGTGACGCTTGAAATGGGAAAAGCGGGTTTAGTCCTGGCTTTTCCCCTCCCTGCTGCTGTGGCTGACCCGCCACGTGCAGGATGCGCTGCTGCCGTACGGCGCCTGGCAGAAGCACCTTGAAATCTCCGCTGTGGATTCACCTTGCCCCGTTGCTGCGTAGCTTTAGCCTTTTTTCCCTGGGTGGGATTTGCCTCTAGTAACGACTGAGGTCACCGATTTTGTGTGCAGCTAGTTAATGAAGGAAAACACACATGTCTTACTTCCTTCTTCCATCGTTCCAAATTGCCTCACGGTCGTGTTTTCCACCCACCTCGTTTGAGGGCTGAGCCTCCCAAGCCCTGACAATCAGATAAAGCATCTGTCGCGCTGGGTGTCACCGGCAGCGCCCGCCCCTCGTGTCCCACCACTGACTCGGGGGGAGCAGAATCTTTTGAGGGGGTGTTTTACTGCAGGGGTGTGCGTCTTTTGTGACAGGCCACAGGAAGCACATTCTGCTGAGTACAAAAATCGCTCCAAGAGGAAACGCTGCGAAGTCTGGGGAGAGAACCCCAAGCAGAATGACTGGAGAAGAGTGGGCGACTGGCCTGTTGGAATGAAAAATATTGGAAATACCTGTTGGTTTAGTGCTGTCATACAGGTAAGCTGACAGAAAAGCTCTCCTGGAGTTGCTGCGGTCTTGGAGTCAGAACGTTTGTCAGTTGGAGTTCAGTGTGCAACAGCTCTGGGATCGTACGCAGATAAGTGAATGTGACTGCGCTCAGATGAGACCTCTGTTTTTATTTGACATGACCGTGATTTATTCTGGGCGTGCACAGAAAGAGCCGAAGAGCAGTTAAATAGACTGAGTAAAAATAGATACCGATACGTCTAATCTGCGTGCACACAGGCAGGGCTTTTTCTGGGGCAGCGATGTCCAAATGCTTACGGGATGACAGAAGCTTGACTGGCAAACTGAACTGATAATTTAATTTTACTGCAGTTATTGTTGGCTCCCTGTTACGTGGTGTATCATATTCCAGTTAATGGAATCCACGGGCAGAGATGCTTGCTGGGCGGCACGTATTGTTAGTGATAACCTCAAGAAGAAGGGACAGCAAGAAGGGGAACTGAGCAGATTTGTCTCTTCTAAGCATTTCACATCACCAGACAGAGGTTGGTCATGGCTCCAGTGTCAGGAGGAAGTAAGGAAGCTTCCAATGGGCTCCTTCCTCACTGTGACGTTCCTGGATGCCGTTTCAAAGCTTGTCTGTGCAGAACAGAACGCTCTTCCCTGAAATGGTCCTGTAGGTCCCAGAAGCGGCGGGCTGGGGTTGTGTCCTCTGGTGGGTGCAAATGTGCTGGCGCAGCACACGGAGCACTCGCTTCGTGAACGTTTGTTCAGTAACACGAGGCCACCCAAGAGTTACAAGTTAACAGAAAAACCTTTGAGTAAGAGAGTGACAGTGGCGAGTCGGGTCCTCGCAGGTGCTGACTGGTCTTTACCTCCTTCCCTTTCAGTCTCTGTTTCAGTTGCCAGAATTCCGGAGGCTGGTCCTTGGGTACTCCCTCCCACAGACAGTGCTTGAAAGTTGTCGCAGTCGCACTGTAAGTTTTCCTTGAGTGACGCTGTCAAGTTTCCCTCTTCTGTGGTTTGCAGTTCTGCTCTTTCTCTAAGCAGATTTAATTTGGTGCCATCTGAGACTCCTGAGCCTCTGTTAATGGCTTTCCAATTGTCAGGCTACGCTAAAGACAAATTTGGGAAATACTTTTCAAAGGCAGAATCACTATAAAAAAAAAATAAATCAGATGCTTCTCATAAAGGTTTCGTCTAGAGCTTCAAGCTGTGGTGCGGGGAGAAATCTGTCCTCTAAAACTTCTTCGGTAGCTCCAGGTGGTCCATTTGCTGGCACATGCTGGAGAAGAACTGGTGTTTGATCGGGGCCGAAGGTCCTTCTAACCCCAGGACCTTCCCAGAGCCACCAGCAGAAGCTGCCTAGAAAACAGTGAGAGCAGAAGGCAGACACAGAACAGTCTTGTGCTTCTGCACCGTGCTAGTGTGTGGCCACTGCCACCGAAGAGGCTTCGCTCCACTTGCCTTTGTGTGTGCTCCTGGTACTCTAAAAAACCTCAAATGCAGACAGAGTAAGTGCATAAATCCACCAGGTTTTGCCTGCTGATTTAGCCACTATTACTTCTGGCACTCTTTGCTCTCCAGGTTTTGTTGTGGTTGAATTTTTTTCTCCTGCATGTCTTTCTGCTTTTGTCCCGTTTAATGTCACCTCCAGCCGTGGTTGGTAGCGTGCCCCGTAGGGTACGTGCTTGTGGTGTTCTGTAGCACTTTGTGTTAAGATGCTGCTTTTCTGAGTTGCAGGAAGGATTTGGATTTTCTTCTTTTTTGCAATGCAGGGAAAAAGAAACATTGCATTCATGCAAGAACTTCAGTGTCTGTTTGCTTTAATGCTGGGGACGCGTCGTAAGTTTGTAGACCCTTCTGCAGCAGTGGAACTCTTGAGGGATGCGTTTAGATCCGCTGAAGAACAGCAGGTAAAATCGCGTTAAAAATCCTTTCGCTTTCTTCAAAACGGCGCTCGCAGCCGCAGCAATCCTATCGCTTCGCCCTGCTGTTCCTTCCCGGGGCCTCTTCCCGTGTTTGTCGGCTGACAAGCAGCTGTCCTCGTGTCATTTAGGCGGAATGTACGTGCTTGCTAATTAAACAGCCAGCGGAACAGCGCTCTACCCAGTGCCATCTGGGTAGTTGGGTAGCAATCGCAATAATTTCCTCTGATCTAGTTTTCAGATGAGCAGAGCGTTCATTATCAGTCTAAATCAGCACAGCACTTCAGTTCCCCACTTTTCAGCTGGGTAGGTACAGCAATTCCAGGCGGGTTGTGTTCCAGGAGGTTCGTGAGACCAGTAGGCCATGAAAACGCTTCCTGGTTCGTGTTACATTTGACTCTCGACTTCTGTCTCTCTCGTAGCAAGATGTGAGTGAATTTACACACAAACTACTGGACTGGCTGGAGGATGCGTTCCAACTGGCAGTGAATGTCAAGTGAGTTTCCTGTCATCTTGGGAGTTTGACCTGGCACTGAGGAGAAACGGATTTTAAATTCGATGCCTCAATAAATGAAAGGGCTTTCCCTGGGAATGCTCGGTCAGCGAGGGCTCTTGCTTTGCTGAGGATGATGCTTAAGCTCGAAATGCGCTCATGAAGCGTTGCCTGTATGTGATCCAACTCTGATACGGCCTGCAGAGCAAATAAGCTTTTCAGGGGAATTCAGCAGAACCGCTGTACATGAAAGATCTGGGTTTGGGGAAAGGCATTTCAAAAGGTAGTGCCTTAACTATTTATTTTTTTCTGTCCCCTTGCCAGTGTAAGTGTTATATCACACTTTTCAGTATAGAAAGAGATGAGAAGCTTCCTCTGTATTTTATGCCTGGATAGAAAAACGTCACTTTCAACTGTAGGAGGGTTCCCAGGCAAAGGCTTAGGTTGTGACTTGGGGCTTTTCTGCAGCCTACAGCTGCAGACAAATGCCTGCTTTCTCCTTCCGAAACAGGAACCCTGGGGACAAATCTGAGAATCCGATGGTGCAGCTGTTCTACGGGACTTTCTTGACCGAGGGTGTCCATGAGGGTGAGTAAAGGGTTTGGTACATGGGTCAAACTGGCACAATTAGCTTTGTCACTCCTTGGAGGGGTTTTGGTTTCTAAAGTCAGTTTATGGTTTTCGTGTCGTTTCCGTGGTGCAGGCAATACTTTCTCCAAGATCGAAACCTTTGGCCAGTATCCGCTTCAGGTAAACGGGTATTGCAACCTGAATGAGTGCCTGGAAGGAGCCATGGTGGAGGGAGAGATGGATGAGGCGACAGCATCTCAGTCGGTGAAGTATGGACAGGAGGTTAGTTTTACCCGGGTTTTGTGGAACTTTTGTTTGCCTGCAGCAGGAAAATGCAACACATGTGGCACAGGGGTGTCTCGGTATGTTCTGATCACTTTAAATGCCAATTGTAAATTTTCCCTAAGCATCGACAGAAAGTATTTTCTGGGTACCTGGAATCTTGTGTAAACATAAGCGTTACTGGTGAGACACTGAGCCTTTGCTTGTTTGTAAAGATGTTTTGTCCTAGATAACCAGTTCAAGGAGTTTGTTTTAAATTTAAAAGGTAAACTCTGCTTCTGATGCAAGTGTGATAAAGTCTCTCTCTTTCTGTTGAAGCCTACCTGTACCTGAGTAGGGGAGAACCACTGCCTCCATATTTTCGGAGGGTAAAAGTACAGTGCTTAACTCCATGGTATGCCATTTGGAATTTGTATCTTTCTCCCTATTACAGTGTGTGTCTTTTTTTCTTCTCATTTTCACTCTTATCTTTTGACTGTGCTGATTTTTTTTTTTTTTTCAATCTTGCAAATCACAAACCAATCATAGAATCCTTAGTTGCTGCAAAGTAGGAGGTGGAGGCGTCCCATTACATTCAGCATCCTGCATGTGTGAGCACAGCTGAGAACTTTCCTTACTCAAGGACTGGGATGAAGCACTAATCAGTGTGCAGAGGGGTCTGGCGTGGGGGGGCGGGGAAAGGCGTTTCGGTTCTGTGAGAACGTCCAACAGTGTGTGGCTGTGGTTTAAACTAGGAAAGGAGGAGCAGAGTCTGGGGCGGGTGAGCCCCGTCCACCTCCGGACTCGGGTGCGTGTTTCTGTTTTCCCTTGCTCCGCCTGGAGCCGCTCAGGCGCGTTCACAGCGGGTGTGGGCGAAGGCGATGATGTAGGTGGTGCCGGAGACCGAGGGGCGCAGGGAACTGATCGGGCAGGTTCTTTTCCATCCACCCTTTTTACTTCCTCCAAATCCTTTTCCGAAAAAGAAGGGAAATTGGACTGATCGTGGAGATGTTTTAATCACTCTTTGTACAGATAGAAGGAAAAGGCTCTGGCTTTATTTCTGAGAAGTCTGACTGGAAAAACTGTGCATCTTAATTTCACTTCCTAGGGTGTCGTGGCTAGAGGACTGCATAATAGGGGACACAGAGAATAAGGTGCATTTTGTCTTTTGAGAACGTAGGTGAGTGTACTGAAGCTCAAAGCATCAGTAGGGTTCACGAGAACTTAGGTTTCTCCTAGATAATAGGTGCATAAATCATTCCTTCTCTGCCGTTACGTCTCTCGTTCTGAAGACTGGGCTGCTTCTCCAAAAGCTCGGCTACCTGGCCATTCCCTTCCAAAGCTTTTCTAAAAGAATAAAAAAACCCTACCTTCACTGGAAATATTTTGGCTCCAAAAATGTGCTGTTGTGCTTTGGTGTGGGGCAGATTTATTGCGGGAGGAGCTCTGACAGGAATCTTGACGAGGAAAATGAGCTTAGTGTGCTCGTCCCAAGGCCAGCAGGGAGCATCGTCTGGGTGCAGGAGAATTCCAGCACTGGGTACTGGAAGGGTTTGTGGAGCCAGAAAGAGAGGGGAGAAGCTTAAATTCAACCCAGAATTGTTTTTTCAGTGTGGCTCTTTGAAACAGTGTAAGAAACATAGAGAAAGTGAGTGTCTTTTGTGGATCCCCCCAACTGAACAGTTTGTCAGCGAGAGGATAAGGAGTCAGGTTCTGCTTAAGGGCTTCTGTTTTGTTCTTCATCATTGCATGCAATCTACATTGGAAAAGAACTCTCAGAGGCTTGTAGGTGACATCCAGAGTTTGTGTAGCATCTGCTAATTTGGTAAAATTTGGTGCTGGACCCATTAATTCATCAAGCTGGATGCATCGGGCAATGAAAAGTGATTTTCTGAAAGCTATCATGAGGCTTCTTCACAGTAAAAATGTAAAATGGAAGCAGAAATTTTAATCTCGTAAAATCTGGCTTTCTGACTAGTCACTCTGTAAACATACAGTAATTCAGTATTTAAAGACAGATACTTAGGATCAATCTAAAATAACTTAGGGTCAGTCTAAAATGTGCCGTTCAGCAGTTGTCTTAAAACAAGTCCCTTTGGGGGCATTTCTGCTTTTGTTACAGCGCTGGTTTACAAAACTCCCGCCAGTACTGACCTTTGAACTCTCCCGATTTGAGTTCAATCAGTCCCTAGGACAGCCAGAGAAAATTCACACCAAGCTAGAGTTTCCCCAGACTATTTATATGGACAGGTGAGTTGCTCTGCTGTATGGTACGTTTAAAGCTATTGCTTTGTTGTAATTAAAGAAACTTAAAAGGTTGTACAGGTGAGCAAGGAAGGATTCTAAAATATTTCAAACAGTCTGTGAGTGCTCAAAGTGAACAAATCCCGCCCGGCGGGGCTCTGTATTTCTCTGCTCAGGTACCTCTACTGCAGTAAAGAACTTATTCAGATGAAGAGAGAAGAAATTAAGAGATTGAAGGAGAAAATGGTGATTCTGCAGCAGAAACTGGAAAGGTGAGTAGTCAGCCAGCCTTGTCTTTGTGCCCTGTGGAAGCATCCAAGTGCTTCCTTTTAAATGCGCTTTCCCATGGAAGAGAAGCTTGTAGGGGAAGCAGGAACAGAACCAGGTTTGTCCCGAGAAGTGCGGAGCCAGGAAGCGTGTTTTTACAAACTAACTTGTGGCTTTGATGGTTTCTGAATGTTCCTGGTGCTCTTACCAGAAGAAATTCTTTAAGTAGTCCACTTGTCGCTGCCAGCTGCCTTGGCAGGTTTCCCCGAGGAAGCCTCGCGATGCATCAAAAAGGGTCTTTTATATTAGAGGTCACGTCCGACTTGGGGCTGGGCGTTATTTCTCGAGGAAGGGAGGAGGTGGGCAGGGAAGGTCTGTTGTGTGGGCAAGCAGATGCTTGAACCTGCCGGGTGCCGCGTGTAAAAGTCCTTTTAACCAGCACTGAACTCGGTGGCGGATCTGCGGGCGGGCGGAGGCGCGTGCCTCGCGGCTGCCCGTGCTGCCTGGGCCCTGCTGGCGCCCCGAAAGCTGCTCACACCGCGGCCCCCGGCAGCGGGTTTGGGGCTGTTCTGGGGCTGTTCGGGCGCCACAGCCTCGGGGCTGGGAAGCTCCGCTGGTGGGAGGGGGCGAGTCGGGTCCCTCTGCGTGGCTGGGGCTCCCCCTGCTTCCCCCGGGGCGTGGGCTTGTTCTTCCTTGCTGCTTCTCCGGCAGCCCCTGGGGCTTCGGCAGCAGGTGACGCTCCTCGGTGCGTGTGTCTGCAGTTACATGAAATACGGCTCCGGCCCCGCGCGCTTCCCGCTGCCCGACATGCTCCGCTACGTCCTGGAATTCCTCGCCACGAAGCCGGCGGGGGGGGCTGCTCCCGCGCAGGGCTCGCAGACGCCCCTCCCGCCATCCCCGGCCAAGCCGCACGTCTTGGAGCTCTCGGAGCCGAATGGGTTAGTAAACACCAGTGAAAGGGCTTGCTAGGAGAGCGCTCGGCCCTTCGGGCAGAGGCTGCTGGTTTGCTGCGTGGGGGCTCCGCCGGGGTGCGGCGCTGTGCCCGCGGCCAGTCGCTGTTTTGCTCCTCGTTGGGTTCCATCGGTGTAAATACAGCCCCACATCTAGCCTGTTTTTTTCCTTTGCCAAAAGCATCACCATATTCCCTGTCTAAGCAGCAATTCTGAGTTAAATTATGTGCTTTTTTTGATTAAGCTACTAATTTTTTTGCTTCATCGACCTGTAAATTACTGCAATATTGGATTATTACAAACCTGGGCGGAGTGGTTGCTTTACGCTCTAAATTAAGCTGAGTAAATACATGAGTTCCTTAGTAGGAAGGGAAGAATTGCTCAGTGTGGATCAGTGCTTAGAGGTTTCTGTAAGAATTTTTGCTTTGATTTGTCCCATATGTTAATTTGGTCTGTTAAGGAGGAAGTATGTTTCAGTGTACCTGTTCTGTTTACATTTGCAAAGTGCTGGAAGAGAAGGGCTGCTCTGGCTCTGGAGCATTTTCTGTTTGGTTTATTTCACATTCTTTTCCAGAAAGAGCAAAAGCAGGAGACAGATTGAAAAACCTATCCCCTGCTGTTGGATTTTGCTTCACAGCGTACTAGAAGGGACAGATACTGGGACTGAAGACGGACCTTGCTTTTTGACAAATTCTTCGCTGCAGCCAAAGTCTCACCTGGTGCTGCAGGCTTGCAGCTCGCCAGCGGGACCGTCGGAACGTCCAGCTCCTCACATGGTTTCCGAGGACGAGCTGAACCTGGTTCGGACGTGTCTGCAGCGATGGAGAAACGAGATTGAACAAGACGTGCAAGGTGGGCCCCAGATGTCTCGGCGGGGTTTTCCTGTTGAACGCCTCCTCATTCCCCCTCTCGCTGCAGCTGGATGCGCCCCCAACTACAAACCACCTCGTACATGTTTCAGCCCTGGCGCTCGGTCTGTGTGACGGTTACAGCACAGCTTCAGCCTCTTTGAAGGGAAAGGGGCCGGGATAGCCCCACGGGTAGTCGTTCGTTTTTATGCACTTCTCTCATTCATGGTATTGTTGGCAGATCTGAAGGAGTCTATTGCCAGAATCACCCTGTCCATTGAACAAATGTACTGCGACCCTCTCCTCCAGCAGGTAAGAAGTGTTGCTTCCTCAGGGAAGTGTTGGAGCGACACTGCCCATACTGGGTTTTGTTAGCAGCTGATGTCTGCTTTATTGCATTTAAAAAATCCCAGAGATGAAGCAGAGAAAGGATTCTGTAAGAAATTCTCCCTGCTTTTTCCCTTAAAAGTCACTGCTCACTGAGTAAGAAATTTCCCCTCCAAACCGAGAGCCTGGTACCAGGCTACAGCTACAAACGTATCAGCAACTTTTGTCCAGAGGTCAGGCAAAATCATTTCCTAAAGGTACGTCTGAGCGCGATGGCCGTGTGAACTTGCAGGTTCCCTACCGTCTGCACGCGGTCCTGGTACACGAGGGGCAAGCGAACGCCGGCCACTACTGGGCCTTCATCTACGACCAGCCCCGGAAACGCTGGCTCAAGTACAACGACATCTCGGTGACCGAGTCGTCGTGGGAGGAGCTGGAGAGGGATTCTTTCGGAGGCTTGAAGAACGCCAGTGCCTACTGCCTGATGTACATAAGCGACCAGGTGTCCTGCCTCGCTGCAGGTACTGCGGGTTCGTTACTCGCTGTGCGTCACCGCGTGCCCCTGGCCTGCGCCATCGTGACATTCCCCAGCTCCTCTTCGGCACAGGAGTCTTGTGACAGCACAAACAGCTTCACCCCAGATAGAAGTTAGAGTGTCTGCTCCATACTCGGTTCATTTCTAAATCCCCGATAGGGCCGAAAACTGAAGCAGGAACCGTAGTGGTGAGATTACGTACTGTGCTTTACGTGTTCCTAAATTGCATAAATATTCAAGCTCCCCATTTGCCCCTCATGTGTCTGGTGCTGCCGTTTTTCACTTTGACTCTTTATCTAGTTTATGTGACAGGGTTTCTTTTGCAAGGGCATGCAAATGCCTCCTACTTTATTTCTCCTGTTTTTATCACGCTTTCTGGTGTGTTGGCTTGGAGTTCAGCAGTATCGTTACACCGACCCTCAGCGGGGCTCGTCTTTTTACGCAGCCTTTCCCGGTGCATGAGTTATGGGTAACACTGGCTTAGGCTTGCGAGTGTTTGCAGTGCCAATGTATAAATAGTTATGTGGAGAAATTATTGTGCACATGGCACTATACATGGCAAACAGCTGTAGAAGAACCTAATAATTTCACGCGTGGTTCATTTTGATGTAATAAATAGAAAGAAACAATGGAGAACTGTCATTCTGTTCACTGCTAAATATGGCTGATGAGTATCTGGAGGTTGTTCTTTGTCTTCCTATGGCAGTTCTGTTTCAGAAATGAACCCATGGGGTGGGTTTTTTCTTCCTATTTAATGCAATTTTTGTTGGTTTTTTTAAAGATGCTTTGCTTTTACAATGGCTGCATAAGAAATATCCGCGCAGAGGATTGCTGTTTGCCTTTGATAGGTTTTAGCACTTGTCTGAAGCTGATAGCGCTTGGGTTTTGTGCAGGTCTGAAACTGAACACTGAAGTAGGTCTCAGCAGTGCTGAGAAATGCCGTCACGGCGCCGGGCGGGGGAGTCCAGGCCGTTCCTAGCCCTGCGTGCTGTGGGGCGTCGCAGGTGTGGTGTCTCCAGCCGAATTGTGGATTTTGTGGCTCTTGGCAGTTTCAGTCCGTTCTCGGTGCAGGGGCAGCCTCGAGGACGGGCGCGTTTCTGAGCTGCATCCGCAGGTGCTGCTCCTGGAACGCCGCTCTGCTGCCCCGTGCTAGATCAGAACTGGATTTTGCCTCACATAACTCTGTAGATTTGTCTTTATTTTTGCACTTTCGATTGTGAATCATCTTAAATGACAAAGCCAGTAGAAAGTCGGGTTTTGCCCGCTCTCCCCTCAGGCAGTTTGACTGCCCCTTTGTTCGGTCTCTGACGGCGGTGCCCTGCCGCTACATGTTCCCTTACACGCTGCTCCTGCGTCTCTTCCAGACGAGGACGAGGGCTCCGAGGCTGGGCAGTTCCAGAAGGAAGTGGAGGCCTTGCCCCCAGAGCTGAGGCACTACGTCCAGGAGGACAACTGGCGACTCGAGCAGGAGGCAGAGGAGTGGGAGGAGGAGCAGTCCTGCAAGATTCCTCAGATGGAGCCTTCACCTGCCTCTGAGTCGCAGGACCTCTCCTCCGAGTCAGGACCAGGTAACACCACGTCCGAGTTCACAAAGCGCTCGAGGCGGTGAGGGCCAGCTGGTCAGAACAGCCTCTGTGCTGGAGCCGCGCGCGAATTCCTCGGTGTCCAGGAGAAACTGTTGCTGAAGTAGCAAAGGCAGCTGGTGGAGGCTCTGTCCTGGCACTACGAAAGGCTGTTCTGCTATTTTTGCATCTGCGCCCTTCTGGGCTTGTCACCAGAAAAGCTGTTTTCCATTCATTCAATCACAATGGGCTATTCTCATTTCACTTCAAGACTTTTTTTTTTTTTTTATAAATATCAAGTAGAAAACATTCAAGTGCTGTTCTCTGGAGTGGGCAAGTGTTCCTTGGCAGTCCCTGAGGGCGTGTGCCGTGCGCGCTGAGCAGGGGCAGGCAGGAGCTCACGGTGCGATGCCTTCGCCTCTGGGGTGAACACTGCAGCTGTTCAGTGCTGCCGGGACAAGTGACAGAAGGTTTTAGCGCAGGAGAAGGGAAGAAGTCTTGCGGTTTGTGCTCGCTGATGCCACGCCTCTCCCGACAGATCAGTTGTCAGTCTGTGAGCAGAGCGTGCGCTCCCTGTCCTCCGAGCACGCCCTGATCGCCAAGGAGCAGACGGCCAAGGCCATTGCCAACACCGCCGAGGCCTACGAGAAGAACGGTGTGGAGGCCGCTCTCTGCGAGGTAGGAGCCGAGCCCTGGCCCAGGGGGCAGCTGTGCCGGTCTTTGGACTCCTCTGCTTGACAGACCTTTGTCTTTTCCATTTCTGTGTAATTTTGCAGCAGTGCCATGTTTTAACTTGGTCCCCTTTTGCTTTCCTGATTTTGTGTTGGTTTTTCTTACTCTTTTTCTTCTTTCTCTTCCTGGCCACAGCCCAAGGAGGTAGAACACATGAAGGCCCAACCAGGAGACAGAGCCCTTACAGTTCAGGCAGAGCCCGCGCAGGACGCTGAGACAGAGGCTGCTGCCCGGGCTAGCTCGCAGGTCTCTGAAGTGGAAATCCCCAGTGTGGGGAAGATTCCTGTTAGGTCCGATGCAGACGGATATAACGAGGAGGTACAGATCCCAGCGCAGGGGTTAATCACTGCTGGTTGTTAACCTGTAGTTAGCTGGCTTTGAGCTTTCCTGAGATGGGGTACGACAGTGGCCTGTCATGGCAGCAGTGCTGCTTGCAAAGTCCATTTTCCCACTGTGGAAGTGAAGATTAAGTAATTTTGTTTCTAATGCTGCAGAGAAGCAGCTCTGTAAAAGCCCACGGTCGTTAGAGCTGCACATGGTTCCTGTAAGTTGTCTTTCTGGCACAGCTGTGTCAGCATCGGTCCTGGCTGTGTCCGTGTATTTGCACTGTATTCAGTTCTGGTTTCGGCCCCTCTCCCAAAGACGAGCCACTGATACCGCACGTCCAGTACCCTGGCTGCTGATTGTTTGACTCTGACTAACCACACCCGCACGTACCCGAGCAGCGTTTGGGAAGCTCAGTCTTTGCCACGAGCACGGTGGGATTGCGCACAAACGCTGAGGCCGTGTCACGTTCCCGCTTGTTGCATTTACAAATTCAGGGCTTGGAGCGACCAGCCGGTGCTTAACACCCGCCTGCATGTACAGTGCACGTGGCAGACGGAGTAAGGAGTGGACGAGTAAACCATGCGCAGCTCTGCCTTGTTCCACCTGTGTTCACACGATTTCCTTTAAACCTTGCCTTTGGGAAGTGTTTTCCGTTCTTCAACCATGCCTTCTCTTCTTTCCCTGTCTGTAACCGTTTCCCTTGTTCCTGTGTGTGTTTGTTTTCCTGCTTTGGTGGTAGGTGATGCTGAGCCCAGCCATGCAAGGTGTCATCCTGGCTATTGCCAAAGCCCGCCAGACCTTTGATCGGGACGGGTCTGAAGCAGGGCTTGTGAAGGTATCTCCTTTCTTTGCTAAATCCCACGCTTGGACATCGCGTTCACAGAGGGCAGAATCTGTGCTTTGTTGACACATCAGGAATGTCAAGGGAATGACTCGCACAGTTTTTCTTCTAGTTAGTGGCCTTTCTGTCCTGAGTTTCGTTTCCGCCCTCTTATTGCGACAGCATATCCCTGGGCTCTAAACAATTTTTAGAGCTTGTCAGAAAAAAACTCACTCCTCCCAGGAGAAACAACCACCTTTTTTCCACCTTTTTTCCCTTTTCACTATTTTTTCTGCTTATTCCTTTAGTACAGGCAGCTGTCTTGATCTGGATGATAAAAAGCAGACTCTCTGGGCGTGCCTTTCAGACTCTGCTGCCTGGGGTCCGCAGTGTGATCGTCAGAAAATAAACCAGCACTTGTGAAAATTTTTTTCAGTCCTGAGCATGCACATTCACAGTGACCTCTTGTAAAATGTGCCCTCGAGAGGTGTCTGTGTTGAGTGGGGGGGTTGGAAAGAATCCACACTGCTGAATATCGAGCTATGTTAGATTTTACCGGCAGGTAGATTTAGCTAAAAATGCAGCACGGGTGAAATCCCCCGTGCTTTTAATCTGCAGGAATATAAATCACAGGACGCTCTGGCGCCTCGCTACAGATACAAATGTACTGCAATTGATTTCTACAGCCTCGGCGCTTGCAGGGGGATTACCAAAGTAAGGCAGCTACGTGCCCCCCTCTCTGAAAGGCTTTTCACTGCCTCGGCGCTTTCGAAAAGCGCCCGCCGAGG